ATTGACCAATGCTACAGGAGAACAAGAAGGGAAGAGAAAAAAAAAAGAAAAAAAAAAAAGAGAAAAAAAAAAGGAGGGTAATTTATGGCTTAATATTCTGTGGACGTCTGAGATTTATTACTGTGAATTCTGAGCTATTTTATTACAAGATATTAAGCAAACATTTCTTTGAAACAATAATAAAGAAAACATCAACAAGCCAAACACGAGCAGCAAAAAAAAAAAAACCCCAACGCCAAACAGCACGGACGGTGCTCCCAAAGCCCGGCGGCCGCCAGCAGAAAAAAAGGGGGTGAGAGTGGGGAAAAGAGGGGGTGGGAGGGGGGGAAGGAAAAGTTAAGCCTGGCTTAAGAAATTTGCGCCTCTCCACCCGCCTCCCCCTTCCCCACACCCCCTCCAAGAGCCCCCCGGGCAGCACCCCCAGCTCTGCCTCCCCTCCCCGCCGCATCCCCCCCCATCCCCCGGCCCCCCGGGGGTGCCGGGGGGGGGTTTGGGGGTGCAGGACTTACTTTCCATGCCCACTTAGTTTCAACTAGGGAATCAAGAGAAGCAAAAGCAATTTTTTCCCTTTTTGACACCCGCCTCCCCATTGGCTCCCCCCGGGTCAGCTGACTGTGTCATTCTGTCTGTCCTGGAGCAGAGCCTTCCCTATAACAATCTAGTTCAGACTACAAACTGGAGACAGAAATAAATATTAAAGAAATCACACAGCCAGGTATAGAGGACGATATGAATTCCTATTTTACAAACCCATCTTTATCCTGCCATCTAACCAGTGGCCAAGAGGTGCTTCCCAACGTAGCCCTCAATTCAACTGCCTATGACCCTGTCAGGCATTTTTCTACTTATGGAGCAGCCGTTGCTCAAAACCGGATTTATTCTTCTCCTTTTTATTCACCGCAAGATAATGTTGTGTTTAGCTCCAGCCGAGGACCTTATGACTATGGATCTAATGCTTTTTACCAAGAAAAAGACATGCTTTCTAGCTGCAGGCAAAATTCTATGGGACATAATACACAGACATCAATCGCACAGGATTTTACCAGTGACCAAAACAGGAACACTTCGCAAGAACAAAAAACTAGCATTCAAATATACCCCTGGATGCAGCGTATGAACTCCCACAGTGGTAAGTTTTACAGCTCGGAGATATAAATTAAATAAACTGAACCATCTTTACGACCTTCTCCCTAGCAGAACAGGCTGAGCGACTTTTTATGGCCCCATAAAAACAATAATATAGCTCCTTCACAGTTGCAGCTACAGGCCTTTTATTTGTTAAGTTGTTGCAAGCAAATATGGCTTGTTATGCTCTTTCTAATTAAAAGACTTCGAGAGTGTAAAATATCGATAATAAAGTGCAGCGAGCTCTGCTCGGGAGTTAAGCACAAAATATTACCGGGGTAAAAATAAGTTTTAATGACGGGTGCGGGAAGTGCGGCGGCGGCGGGTTCCCCGCACGAACAGGGGCCGGGGGG